ACAGGCGTCGAAACCCGGTTTCTAGCGTTGTAAGTCCGCAGACATACCGCTGTGCCACTGGGGGGCTAGGTGAACTAATGAAATTGCTTTCTTGTATTTGACGTTTATTTATTTATTTACTAACTAACGGAAACCAAATCCGTAAGTTCAGAGGCGATTAAAATTATTTATGTATTTATTTATTTATACATACACATATAAAATCATATAAATATTATATTTTAATAATTCTAATCGCCGTATGATGAGCATCTATTTTCTGTTTTTTCCCCTCCTCCCCTCCAATAAAAATTTATGGTTTGGGTCAGTTAGAAATTATACGAAGAAGGGGGAAAAATCTGTATTAAAGATACGAGAGTAGACTTATCAAAATCCAATTTCTTCATCTCTTCGGTGTATATCCCTTGTAAAAGCTTTCATTAATTATGAGAAAAACAGACCATGTATAACAATGATTTTAAAGTAAGGTAGACCACAACGTACAATGCAAGTTGTGCTTGGATGATAACCTTCGAGAAATCGATATTATACTGAGAACGAAGATCTGCTTCCCTAAATACCGATTTTTCTCGACAAAGGTTTGAAATATTCGAATAATCAGAAGTTATTCTGCTCCGCAGTAATTTCGTAATTACTTCTCTTCTCTTCTTAAGATATATCAGAAAGAAAAATATATCATATCAAATTACAAATTTGAAAACAAACAATATTAAGCGCAATATGTAAATTTCTTCATCATAGCTCAACAGATGGTGCTACTCGGCAAGGCTCATCGGATCCTTTCGTTATTATCTAGACAAATATTAAATTATCTAAGGTACAAAACAAAATGTAAATAATAAAGGCACGAACTTCCAAGTAACTTAGGTTAATAGCATAACTAGCCCCGTTGCAAAAGGTTGTGCGGGTTTTCTGAATATAAGGTGGTTTTAGATAACCATTTCACATGTGTGTTTTGTTTAGCGCAACACCACACAATAGGTTATCCGAGGTCTGTCCACCGCGGTGGAATCGAACCCCGGGTTTTTGCGTGTTAAGAACATAAACTTACTGCTGAACCATCGAGGGACCTCTATTTTTATAGAATAAGTATAATAATTCGTCATGTGAGCATATCCAAAACATTTGGTAAAGCGAAAAAGTCAGATATAACAGATTTTCTTGTGAAAAATCTATGGGCCAGTAAACAAATGCACCTTTAAAAGAGAGGCGTTCTGCTTGCAAGTGTGAATACTTATACCAAATTTGACAGGCTTGACTCAGTGATTAGTGTGTTGACTGTGAAGCTGTGATTCAGTGATCCACGTCCCATTTCTTCTATATAGAAAATCTGCTCCTCACTTTGGGGCCAAGAGTGAATTAAGTACCATTGTTCAGTCTAACAAGAGTATTCCAAGAGATGGCGGTTAGTGGTATTGACCAACTACTTATTCTATCACTTGAGAATTAGGGCTGACTAGCGCAGATAGTCTTCGTGTAGCTTTACGTGAAATCTAACAAACAAACAAATTATAACTTAATGTTTAGACGCGGCTTGAAGCTCCAAGCCATATTTTCTAAAAAGTGGGTTCCTCGTATTCAAATTTGAAATTATGACATCGATTTTTAAGCATTTTATATATAAATATGCAAAATAAGAACTACACTTAATTTTTTTTTGAAATACATCTTCTATACTTACGTATATGTGATTTTTGAGAATAAGATATTTCTGAATAAGTAATAAGCTATTTCCTGTCTTGAAATCACTAACAACCGGCTCCAAGAACTTACATCTTCTAGATAAGTAATTACCAATAAATTGGTTACAAGACCCATAACTTTTGAATAAATAATAAGCTATCAATAACAGCAAATACTCTGATTCACAGACAACATTCAATGAGTTTCATGAAATGCGAAACCTGTGAAAAGAACAGTATGTCCATGAAGCCAGTAGCTTAAACTTTCCTGGGTAAATTACTAAAACAAAAGTGTGATCCACACTGGACTTACGATTTAAAAAAATGGAAGTTACTAAAGTATAAAGTTGGTGCTACATATATACCATAGATATAGCTCAAAAGGACAATGATACGTTTTAAGAAAAAGAGTGTTCCAAAATACTGAAATATCATAGTTAAGAAAACCACAATAAGAATATCTGTCCTGTTTCCAATTGTCATACACGACGATGTAATATCCCACATGGACCAATAAGCGGAATCGTGACTAAAACTTGACGAACCAATAAGGGAAAAAAATTTATTTTATACATCCGTAATCTACAATTATGAAATTCCACGAGCCATGCTAATTTCAGTGCTTTCATTTAAGTAGAAGGTAGCGCTCGGATAACACAGCGTTTTGAAAGCTTATACACTCTTTATATATTACTATTACTGAAGGCATTATTAGTAACCTAATCACTGTGAAATTTAAAATAATTCCAATAGAAAGCCTATTCATACTTTACCTATTTCACTATTAATATCACATATAAAGAAAACGAAAAGTAAAGCTCCCCTGGAACAGTTTTTTGATCATATCAGTCTGATCAGAAAATGATCATTTATTACCATACTCTGCTGCTTTCTTGCAACCAGTAAACTTCTGGTCCATCGCCACCCAGCCTAAAAATTAAACATTTTGTGAAATACTTTACCAAAACCTCCATGAAAGTTAGGATAAACAATATTTACATATGGTGTTCTAGTAAATAAAAGAGCATTAACAAATAATTTTAGCAAGTTTGTAAGTGAATAAAACTACTTCATGAAACCATGATAAATGCCATTTAACAATTTTCCAAGTTTTAAGTATGTTTTTAATAACTTCTTTCAACTGTTTAACTTAACAGAGCTCAAACTGATTGATTTATAAATTTGTGTACCTTAAGGCTTCAAAACAGTTTCCTCTTTCAATCTGATGTTTTTTCTGTAAAATAACGTAATCTCATTTTCATTTTTGACAATAAGAATATAAGTAAACACTGTAAAATATCTATAAGTCATTTCTCCATTGTAACATTTTTACTGCTGTCGTTCACAACATAGATATTTTTCGTAACTGTCCTTTTGTGTTCTAGTTTTATGAACAGCTTTTAACCTACTTTTGTTTTCTTATATGGATGTGTCATCCTCTTCACCAACAAGTTTTGCTCGCTTGACAACAATGGCGCTTGGCTTTCTTGATCATTCATTTTGGAATAACTGTACACACACACACATACACTGAGTGGTCACAAGTAAATAGACACCTAATTTTTCATTATTTAACTGATTATGCTAACCAATTTATGTTCACAGAGCACTATAAAAATGAAATCGGTCCGCACACTAATTAGTGCTACAACATGCCTAGAACTCAAGGTTCTCTCGAATTGTCAGATTTTGTTAGAGGAAGGATAGTTGATCAAGCAGATGGTGGAATAAGTCAGCGACAAATTTCGCAGAATTTGGGAATCCTGCTTTCGACAGTCAACAGAATC